CAACTCTACATTTTGATTGGTGCTTGGCGGAACGGAACATGGTGATTGGTCTGGCAATACTGGACCTTGCAAATAGTAGATAGATGAGTACCAGCTAAACCGACTCTCTAGTTGTATTATCAAACTGCTTGGACAATACTCTGGTTGGGAACAAGATCACCCGACGGCACAGAGTCTATACAGTGCGAAAGACATACTTCGCTTACAGAACTTGAAGATAATGGAGAAGCATACGTGTACAAGGAAGCCACTTGATGAACTCGAATCAAAATACATTGCTGCGAAGCTGCCCGCGCAATGGTGTGATTGATTGCTAGTTTTCAATACGAATCGTCCAATTAATAAGGTCATGAAGAAGTCTCGCAACGATCCACTTCTAGCTGCATAAGATTATCTGTAACTTCTTTTTGTTTTCGGATCGCCTTCTTTTTGGCTGAGCGAAACAACTTTATTTTGATACCCTTGCTTTCTCCAGACTCACCTTGCTTTTGGTTTTATGTCGATTGCCTGGAGGTTTTTTTTGGAATTTTTTGGATCATTTGTCCTAAGCCCGAAGAAATCTACTACACTGTTATGCGATACAACAACAAGTTCGAAATCAAAGTGTTTTCTTTCCCATCATCCGAATGACACTGCGGTCAAGTGCTTGGGTCGACCAGATTTAGACCCCGCGATACACTCTATGAATGAAAATGAGAAAATTTCTAAAGCTCCAAATCGACTGACAAAAAAGGACTGTCACCTGTGGCTACCTAATCATGCTAAAAGGGCGTGCACACTGCTGATACATGGGTGGATGTTAGTGGCCAACATGAAGCAAGCTATGCCCCTCATTTGAAGACTTAAATTTTTGAAACGAGATAGTAACATTAAACTGCAGTCTAGCGTTGGGGTTTAATCACTGTATTTTTTGATTTTCGGTGAGTCACGATCTGTCTGTTTAAAACCGTCGTGTAAACACATCAACTGGTTGTGTCGATCAAGATCGGTCCGGCATTCAGATCATGGTGCTTTTTCACTCTCCTGGAAATTTTTGGCATCCTTATTTACAAGCACTCCGACAGAGACTGCTCATGAGCAACCCAAAAGAGAGATAGAATTTCAATCGACTAGAAAAGCCGTCAACTCCTGCCATTCACTAGATCAAGCTGCTGCGCCGTCATTTTTCTGTCGTCTTTTCATGGACTTCCATTGGACAAGTCCAGCGCCAACAAATGAGAGTAGTGCGGCAGCAACAGACACGTAGAAGGTCTGAATGACGGCAATATTATAGGCGTATAAGACGAAAGGCAGAACACCTTTAGGCACGTGTTGGGATAGATTTGCAACTCCGACTTTTATTAATGCGTCTGGGTTGAGATTGGGAGTATTGGCCGTTATGCTGGCCACAAGGCGATTCTCAAAAACGGTTTGGGCAATCGAAATAAACGTTGCGCCACTGAGGCTCTGTGCAAATGTGATGATAGCAATTCCAATCGGTATGTCTTGTAATGGCAGTACCGTCTGAATTGCGTTGATGGATTGCTGGAAGCCAAGTCCTGCTCCGATTCCAAGAATGACTTGGTATCCGATCCACTGCGGTTGTCCGCTGTTTACTTTGAAAGTTGCACACAGTCCCGAGCCAATCGAGAGAAAGGCACTGCCAACGAACATGAGTGGCGCATAGTATCCAACGACATTTACCAGCAGCCCCCCTAAAGCAGAAAACAAAATCATAGTCACCACCATCGGTAGATTGTTGATTCCAGATTCTGATGCAGAATCTTCCTTTACTGCTTGAAACCAGATAGGAAGCTTGAAAATTTGTTAGCAATGAGACAGGGAGGATCGGGCTTAAAACTCACATAAAATCCAGGGACAAAAAAGGAGCCTCCTAGGAATGTGGCGTGAATTACTGCGCCAAGCACGTTTCGATTCTTGAGCAAACGGGGCGGTACTGTAGCGTCGTCCTGCTTCCAGATCTGGATAATGCACCATGTAAAACCGAATACCCCAAACAGAATAAATAGAGCAATTATTCGAGGGTTGCTCCAGCTGTATTTGGTGCCGCCCCACTGGAGGCATAGTAGAAGTGAGACGATCGCCGGGATGAATGCAAGCACACCAAGGGGATCCATCCGCTTTAGCTGCCCAACGCGGCTTTTTCTTGGTTTTGGCGACGTGGAATCCTTGAAGAAGAGTAAAATGACAATCCCAGTTAGAACACCAAAAGGCAGATTGATCCAAAAACACCATCTCCAACTGACATGATCAGTCAAGAGTCCCCCTATCCTGTGGCCAAGTTAGCCGCCATTCTTTGCGATTAAGATTGCAAGACTTACAGCGGTCCTGTAATCGTTGCAATCCCACTGGTACTGCCGATAATTCCAAAATAAAGGGCACGCCGGTGAAGAGGCACACTATTTGCGAGTACGAGTAGAGCACCCGGCGACAATCCTCCAGATCCGATGCCGGCAATTGCTCGCCCAAATATCAATCCCTTCGATGTTGGTGTGACTGCACATAATAGGGAACCAAGTTCAAACAAGCCAAGAGCTATCATATATGTCCACTTTGTCGAATAATATGTGTATACTTTGCCAAATGGTAGAGTGACGGCACATGTGGTTAAGAGGTAAGCACTGGCATACCACGATAAGTCGCCTAGTGAGTCAAATTGTTCGGTAATTTTGGGAATCGCGGTTGAGAGGATTGTGTTGTCCTGGCAAGTCGTCTATATTAGTTCATGAAATAGGAACAACAACATGGAACTTACCAATGCCATACAAAAAGATTGAAAGCAAAGTCCTATCAAAATTGGAACAATCTTTGAGCCTGGTGGATAGAATTGCTCTTTTTCATCATCGTCACTCTCCTCGGTTCCAGCCTCTTTCAATGGGATTTCATCTCGATTTGTGTAGACTTGATCGCCAAAACCTTTCATGCTTGAACCGTCTGCCATTTAGCTTCAAGTCAAAGGTCTTCAAATCTTGTTCAAATCACGAGGACCCATAAACTTGTGTCTGGGCTAATTAAACTGAAGTTTGACGGAGTGTGTGATATAGCGAGGTACAACCAGCCACATTCAATCCAAGTCTGGACACACAGCAATTTTCTTGTAGGAAATCTCTGTGCCTACATTACTACAGCCGGATGTAACCCGATAAATCATTCTCGGAGTCTTTTACTTTCACCACATTCTTGCTGCGCTACGTGGTATGCAGTAGCTTTTCCCCGACTGCGTCCTCGCTATATCGAAGCAAAACTTGTAAATATGGTCAAGGAATACATGTAAAGCTGTGAAAATGAGAATAGATTAATTAGAGAATCATAATCATAACAAGGCTGGCACATTTGGCGCCGTTCTTTGCTCGAGGTCGATCACGCACGACATGATGAATCTCAAACCCCTGCATTCCAGTAAGACCGCAATCTCATTAAACACAGATCCTATGATGGCTAGTTAATTGATACTTTTAGTGACACGGGGCATCAAAGCTCAATCAAAGTTCAATTAACCTGTTGCAGTCTACCTAGTTACGTATGACTATGCAGGCGCTTTTTCCATCTGAGGCATGAACTTGAAGCCAAACGCCGAGCTGGGATTGCTCCCAAGAGTATACAGATGCTGATCGTCAAGATTGTGGAATCAGCCCATTCCTGTGTCCCACTACCCACAAGCCCATACACAAGAAATATAAACTGGCTACATGGAGTGCACCCTCCACCTTCCAACTCCAACCTCTCACTTCTCTCTTGCTCTCTCTCTTCCTCTGCACCCTCCCCTGCCTCGGTATTAATTGGTGGCGTGGTTTCTCTGGCCGATTTGGCGGAGCCCTAAAGCTTACCCGTAATTATGATGCTCTTTCAACAAGATTGACGGAACTGAGATTCGGGTCCTTCTACTGGGCTGGGTTGATGATAGTTCTTCCCAGGACTATCATTAGGGCTTAGGGCTCTTTTGTGACCACGATACTGACATTTTCAACTAAACTCAGACACAATTTTTTCCAATCAATGTTTCTAGGAAGCTATCCATAAAAATCACCATGCCACCTCTGTGTGACCGACTGGCTCACACCAAGCTTTGTGTTTGTTTATTGTCAAAATTCAACACGCTTCTCTTGGATATGCGAAGGGAAATTGCTACTAGTCGTATACATGGCCATGTATTTTTGCAGTTCATGTTGGGGTTTAAAGGCCAACAGCCAGAATACCACGGCACGACACCACTCATTAACCTACCGTATTAGCGGTCTGAGCATGCTTCGCAAACTAGCCATGTCTGAACGTCCACTTGTGCACTTGTGCACTAAAAATCTAGCACTGAGAAGACTAATTAGCTTTTATGAGTTGAAGGATTCTGGGTGATCTGATCTGGGTGCGAGTCACTTCAAAGTGATAGATACAAGTAGCACTGGGGTAACAGATTTCTGGCGCCAGTAGATCTCTCTGAAAACCTGGTCTATTGAAGATTTAAGCAATACATGAACATCATTCCAATTGATGCATGTGAGTTGGTGTCCAATTTAATTCTTCTTCGGGCTCTGCCTTTCCCAATCAAAAGTAACTATCAACTAGGAAGCTTCCTGGTCTTGTTAATAGTCTTGCCCGGTCTATTTGCGACCACAGATTTAGTGTTCGCTGATTTGATTCCGGAAAAAGAAGTTTTCTTTTCGTGCAATTTCGGTGGGTTTAAGTTCGTTGGTCCATGACAGTATGGATTATAACGAGCTTGATGGTGATGGGATTAGAAGTGCGAGTAGTGGCGTAGTGTGAGTGCCGTAACCAAGACTTGTCAGGTTTTATGTGGTTGGTGCACCAAGACTCAACTTTCCCCAAGGATAGCTGATGGTCGTTGTATGTTTTCGAAGATATTTGCTGTTAAGGCTTAACGGCACGTCGAGACTCCATTTTAAGGAAAGAGTTTGTACTGAGACCTAACGGTGAGTTTTGAGAGGGGGCCTCGCGGTAATTGAACAGCTTGGCAATGAATTTGGAGGCTCATAAACCGCCGAGAAAGGTAGTAAAACAGGTCGAGAGCATGAAGGTGACGATGGTTGAGTTTATTGGCAAATGAAAGAACTTGAAAATACGGAGTAAACGGTAAAAAAATCTCGAATCTCTGGCCGTAAAACGAGTTGCCACGAAAGCACCCAGACGAATAGTTTTCCTAGCCCAAGTTTAGGCCAATCGGGACCCACATTAAGATGTATCAGATTGAGAACCTGGCGCCCATACTTCATAGTGATCTCTAAGCTCATTTCAGTGCGAGATACAGAAACACGCTCTGGGGGCTGTAGCACCCCGAAAGGTAGGTAGGTAGGTAGTAGGTAGGTAGGTAGTAGGTAGGTAGGTAGTAGGTAGGTAGGTAGTAGGTAGGTAGGTAGTAGGTAGGTAGGTAGTAGGTAGGTAGGTAGATTTAATTAACGTCCGGCAGGGAGCAAGCTTTCGCTTGCTCCCGCGACCTCCCATGGGGTATTGGGACGTGCAATGCTATGGTTTCTATTATACAAAGATCCTTCTCCACAGATTGCAGTTCATGCATTCGTAAATGCGAGGGCTGAGTAGCCAGTTGGTGACGGCTGTCTCCGACGTGTGAGCCGGCCATCATGGGGGTGAGGGTCCCGGGGGGTCCAGGTGTGTGATTGGCGCGTGCCAAAAGACTTTGTTGAGGATAGAGATGAGTGGGTTACCTCGTGCAGACCCGCGAGTAGAAGCTTGTGAGCTCCAGTAGTTCAACAAACTGCTTGGGGTCCAGGCTGCGAAGGTAGACGACTGCCTCTATCCTGTCGGTTGGAGGTGTCGGGGGGCGTTTTGGCCAGTGTCGGAAAGACCTCTGGGTTTTGTGGCAGAGAGCGAGGTGCTCTGGTGACTTTCGGCGGCCGCATGAGCAGTCGAGTTTGGCGTCTTCGTGGTTGAACTTGCGGTGGTACCAGTCGAAGTCGCCATGCGACGAGCGGAGGGCAAGCCAGCGGTGGAGCGCTGGTACCTCGAAAGGCAGTCGTCGGAGACATACATACCGCGTCCAGAAACCCTATGAACCCAACCAATTACTTGAGTGGCGGACATGACGGCAAAGCCTAAAAGCATGATTGGGAGAGAAACTGTAAGCCAATAAGCTCTGCATGTAGCAGGCCTATATACGTTCATTCTAGAACTGGGCTACAGCCTGAGCTTCCTAACCAGGCAAGTTGCAATGTTCCCTGGGATTCGGCCCCTTATGCTAGATAGAGTAGAGAGTAGTGGAGACATCAGAAGAGAATTACGCAATACATTTGACTGTGAAAGCAGGGACCAGTGACCTCGTGTATAAAGTGGCCTATTTTTCCCTTCTCTGTTTGTTCTCTGTTTGTTCTCTGCATAAGAAACGAGGGTCCTGGCATGCTTGATAGGTGAAGACACCGATGAGTTGTTCATCAGCACTAAATTCACCACCGTCAAGCCTACTGTTTCCGAAATGGTAACGGTGTCGCCGCGGGATATGTTGACCATGCAAGATAGGATGATCAAATACCTCGATTTGCATATTCGCAATATGATAAACGGCTCTCCATGTGTTCATGCGTGGTTAGGGAGCTATGATCCATCGTTTATTCAAAGCACCTCTTTGTGGGTTGCACCACTGGTCTCCATCTTGGCACCAAACTCCTTGCGGCGCTCAATCTCTTCCCCAAAGAGATCTGCGATATCGTGAGAGCGCCATGGCTTGACATCCGTCTCGAAGACCAGGTCGATCTCTTCGAGAGACCGGCCCACAGTCTCAGGATACATGAAGAACACGTGGAAAGTCATGGCAGTGCAGAATACTCCAAAAATGATATAGGTCCTCCACTGAATGTTATGGAAGGCTGGTGCAATAAAGTAAGCCAGAGCAAAATTGAAAATCCAGTTGGTAGCGGCCGACAAGCCGACGCCCTTCGCTCGATACTTGAGCGGGAAAACCTCGGCAGCATAAACCCATCCAGTGGGAGCCTGTAAATGTTAGATGCGGTGAGACAGAAATTTGAATATAACATACCCAAGTCAGGCCGTAGATGCCAGTGAAGATGTATGAAAATGCGATGACTGTCATTCCTGCACTGCCCTTGATCTCCCAAGTCAGATTGGCATTGCCATTGACATTTGGAACCGCGTGTCCTTTACTAGCCATGACACCAGCAATGATAAAGTGCAGTACCATGCAGGTGACAGACCCGATAAGAAGTAGCTTTCTTCGACCAATGCGATCGATAAAGGGAAGCATGCCACCTGTAGTCACCAAGAAGATGACATATTGAATTGCAGAGGACCACAGCGTTGTATTCCCAGTCTGTAGTTGATGGTCAGAAAAGCCACCCAGGTCGCCTTGTTTTAAAAAATCAAAAAAAAAAAACTTACCATGCCAGCCATTTCAAAGATGTAAACCACATAATACATGGCAACGTTACCGCCCAAAAGTTGCTGCCACATTTGAACAGTCATTCCGCACATCGTGCGCTTCCAAACACGAGGTCCAAACAATGCCAGGAATGAGACGTCTTGAGATTCATGCGCCACACGCACAGCCTCTTGAACTTCTTCAAATGCTGCCTGCACAACTGGGTCATGGCGATCACCATTAGCATGAATGATTGCCAATGTGTCCAACGCTTCTTCCCAACGCTCCTTCGAGGCGAGCCAGCGCGGGGACTCTGGAAAAAAGAACAGAGCGATAAACAAAATGAGACCTGGTACGGCCTGCACACCCCAGCAGATCCTAAAGGCAGCCGTTCCAGATACGCCAACCACGCAGCCATATGCGATCAAGTACATGATCAAAATACCCCATTCGATTGCCCATTGTTGAATACCCACCACACGACCACGGATGCGAGCGGGCGCCAGTTCAGATAAGTAGACGCATGTTTGTGAGGAGGTCACACCGACTGCAAGTCCACTAACTACACGGCCGGCGACCAAATGCGTCACATTTTGTGCACT